AATCAGAACCAACTCTTAACAATAGTTAACAACAGTTTTCAATTGAATTGGAGGACTAATTGTTTTCTATTTCTTAACATTGAGTTTTACAAGTTGGTAGATGGAAACTTATCAATAGGTAATTGCCATGTGAGTCCTGGTGTGGCAAAATAGGCTAAGAACTGGACTGCTAACCAAAAGGTTGGCAGTTCAAACCCACAAGCCTCTCATTGGAAACCCTATTTAGGGTCACTGTGAGCTGGAATGATACAATGGCACTTAACAATAACTGTCATGTAATATCCATTTCCTTTGCATAAACACTTACCATTTTGTAGGGTCTTCAGATGACGATTCAGCCATAAAAGTGAAGAGCAAACATCTTGGGTGATGGGTGCAGACTAGTTGGCAATACTTAAAACTTGGTACAAAAACAGTAGTTATGTCTCCTCCTTTAAAGTAGGTATCTTTGAAGAGTTTAGTCACACATTCTGTTATATAATAGATAGCATGTTATTTTGGATTTCAGTGGAAACATATTTAATTACATAATAATCTCACAAAAGCAAGAATAACTTAATAGGAAATATGCCTGCACTTGGAAATTAGGGAAACCAACACATTAAAATTAATTTATATGCTAAGCAGTTTTCAGATGGGGCAGAAAATCATTAAATGGCACCAGATGCCTCAATGGAATTATGGTTATGAGTGCAAATCTTGGAAATATGGAGTGCTTTGAGGGTAACTGGACTTATTTCTCTGATTTTTACTAGTCGATAAATACATGTTAGCATCCCCAGGTCAAAAACAGGTCTCCAGCCTCTCCCTTTCGTCACTGACTTCTCCTTGTCTGAGTTCTGCGCTTATACGAAGCAAAGGCTCCATCCAAAGAAATCATTTTCTAATAGCATTAGATGGCTCTCGGTATGATAAATAGTAATACTATATCACTTTACCATTTAAAAATGGGTCAATTTACCAACAGGAACTTTACATTCTTCGAAAAAATACTGAATCATCTATAGCTGCAACCATAAATTTTTAAAAAATCTAAGTCACATAAAGCTTAACATTTTTTCTTTTTCTAGGAACCGATACCTAATTTTCAGGTTCTGATTCTTTCTATAACTTGTGAATAATCAAAACTTAGTGCATAAAGGTTGTGTTTAATCTTGGCATATTCTCATTGAGGGGTACTGCTATGGCATGGGAGTAATAGAGAGCTGTCTCATCTCTCTGAGTTTTGTGCTACTCCAACTTACTTTTGTGATTTATTGTTGCTTTTGTTATTGTTGTCAGGTGCCATGAAATCAGCTCCAAATCATAGCAACCCTGTATAGGGTTTTACAAGAGAGGCTGGTGGATTCGAACCACCAATCTTGCAGTTAGCATTCCAGTACTTGTCCTACAACACCATACCAGAACTCCCATTGTGGTTGTTGTTCTTGTTGTTGGTAAGTGTCTTTGAGTCAGTTATGACTTATTGTGACTCTATGTAAGATTTCTGAAGAGCAACTGATGTGCTTCAATTGATGACCTTGTGGTTAGCAGTCCAGTGTTTATCCTATAACACCTCACCAGGATTCCCCTATTGTTATTCGTTACCTGTAATTCAATTCTGACTTTTAGTGGACCACATGTGGGCA